GTCCGTCTTCTCCCCCAGTCGAACTCTCTGCCTCTGAGCAGAGAGGAACCCGGAAGAGGCTCAACCGAAGGGCAGCCTCTCGTTCGGGAAGGTTGACCAACCCGATCCCGTTATGCGGGTTCTACGGGCAATTTTTTTGGCTAAGCCTACGGGCTCTGAGAACCCACGTTAAACCTGGCCTTGTGCCACATGCAACCCTCTTCTCTCCCAGCTATTGGCTTAAATTTAACTTATCTTGAAAATCATTATTACAAAAAAAAAAATAAAATAAAATAAAACAATTGCTAATATTAACTCGCAAATGAAAATAGAACTCTTAATATCTAAAATATAATTTCCGTCTGAATTTTTGAGATGAGCTGCCATTTTTTTTTTTTTTTTTTTTTTTTTTTTTACACTATTTAGATTCGGACTGTTGTCTTCATCTTATAACATTTCGGTCGTTGTATCCTTCATCAGGTGTATAGTGGTCCGGGTAACTTTTAGGGAATTCCGAACTGGGCCCTTTATTTAATCTACGGGGCTAGAATGTTTTCGTTCCGCTGTTCAAATTTTTACGAGTTCGTGTGGTAGGCTTTTGATATATATATTTCTTATACTAATATATGGTAATTCTGTTAGGGATCTATTCATTTCTCCACGCCCCACCATAGATATTAAGTACATCTTACTTTGCTTCGTTGCTGTCCTTACCGAAGACAGACGTTATCATATTCATCCTTATTGTCAGTGTAGTAGATGCCTTCTCATTCGATGTTGTCGTCTACCGTCTTGGATAGGACAAACTACATCAGCGTCCAGGTTAAGACGATAAACTACGTCCAACAGCAAGGCCTCTGATCAGGAGGTTTTGAGGAGCGTGGGACCACCTCTTAGTTGCTGGTGTTCCCAGGTCCACCATGACCCGGGGTGGAAGCACCTGTTAAGCTCCCACCTATAGGCAAATAGTTAACCCCGAAACTGAGGTAAAAAGCCTTAAAAAAAAGTTTAAAAATAGGTTTTAATACCAGAAATACTTAGTAAAAAAAATTATTACCAGAAATAAATTAAGGAAAAAAATATTACCATACAAGCAATATATATTTTTCAAAAAAAAAAAAAATATTACCAGCAATACATTTTTTAAAATATTACTAGCTATACATTTTTGAGGAAAAAAATATTACCAGGAAAAAAAGTTGTCGGCATTAAGTAACCCATTGGGGTTGATATGCCGTAAAACAAACCAAACTCGGCGTCGTCTACTCCTCCTTTTCCCTTGTTGCTGTTTTTTTTTGTTTTTTGTTTGTTTGTTTGTGTAATTTTTCAATTTACGTAAATACAGATGGCTTCAGTCGGTGAGGATTAACAAACGGATATTCTCTAACCACTGGAACATGTTAAATTTTTTTCTTCGTAGCGCGACTTCATTTTAGCCGAAATGCTGTTGAATTTCCAAGCTAGCATGTCCCTTCGTGTTTGCTTTACAAACCACATACCTTCGCCCGGTTCACACTCCTCTTTGGTCCTTTTGAACAGGAGTAGGGGTTTATCCACTTTTTTCCTGATTAGGTTTCCGGTTCCTTCTCACGTCATCTCATTCTCTTTCTATCCAAGTAACTCCTTGTGTCGTATTATCACTTTGCTTAGTGTAAAATTACTTTTTGAAAATTGTTTTAACCGTATAAATTCTTATTTTTAGTCGAGACGAACAAGATAAGTTTAAATTTAGCTACTATAAAATGTCAGTGCATATTAGACAAGCTAGTTCCTTATTTGTTTTTTTGTTTTTTTTTTCCCTGGGTCTTCAGAACTGCATGGCCCAAAGTTAGGGGTTCGTATTATAACACAAATATTGTAATCACACAAGATGTTGTTGTTACTTAATTCTGCACCTATGAAAAGATCACTTATTGATTTTGGTAAGTGTTCGAAACTTTAACTAAGATTGAATTAATTTCTTCTGTCGCACTTCTCCCTTGTGGAATCCTCTTCCGGCTTCTTGCTTCCCAGTTAACTTTGATCTTCAAAAATTTAAGTGCACTATCAATCGTTATCTTTTAATTTTTATTAATTCCTACTCCTTAATAACGTTTGGTTTTCTGATATTCTCTCACGTTCAGTAACCCCTTGCTTCTTAGTTGCTTTATTGCCTTACTTGAGGTGAAATGATTTTTTTTTTTAAATCTCGGGGAACAATTAAGTGTAATTTTTTTTCTTTTTCAATAGCCTATGTATACAAATAAGTGAATAAATAAAATTGTTTGCAAAGGATGTCGAAGAAGGTGACAGATGTAAGTTACTGACATGTTTGCTCAATGGTTTTACCGTGAAACATTACATACCAATTTTTTTTTGCGAATTTTGACTCTGGAGCTCGGGCAGAAGGGTTAAAATTGTTTAGAAACACAGGGCTTAAATGGTTACGGCTCGCATGAACTAGGTTCACAATTTATATAGCCTCTTTTCTTTCTATTTGTCGAAAGACGTCACGTGGTTAAATGGTCTCTACGTGTTCGAGAATGACATTCTAAACATTGAACAGGCATTCTTTCGATCGACATATCTTGATTTCAATAGCAAATATTTAAATTAGAAATTACATGATTTTCTTTTTAAATTTGACATAGCCATTTCTTTTTTCTTTCTTTCTTTTTTTTTGTTTTAATAGACTCATATGTTATCTCCTTCAACCCCACCGTGAGTTCATCATTATTATTATTATTATTCAAATCCGTTTTGGGCTAAACTTCCGACTAGTTATAAATCGGACATCCTGTATCAAATTTCATGAGAAACAAATTACTCTCTGTCAATGACTCTGTCAAATGAGTGCAACATTTTGTACCGTTATCACTTTTCCTTTCCTGATTGTATATCAGGGTTTCTCGAAAAATTGGTCTGTCAATATAGCATTATCATTCAGAATCTCATTCCTAGACTCCCCTAAAAACGTCAGACTCAAAAGATGTATTGTAGCAACGCTCGACATAGAATGAACAACATTCTAACGCTTTCAATTTGCCATTCTTCGGTCCGAATTCCTCGCTAAAACATTAAAATCCGCCCCGGTCTCCCTCTCTGTAAAGGGGAGATAATTCCCACCTGCCATAGAATCACAATTCCCTAATTTGCTCTCGGGTATATGAAATAAATACATAACGCTTTTAAATACCATCAGTGGGTTTCGTTTTTTTTTTTTGTTTTTTTTCTTTTTCTTTTTTTAGTATGAATCAAGCGTATACACAAGATCACGCGCGCGTACACACACACACACACACACACACACACACACACACACACCGTTATAGTCACCTAAAGGTCGGGAGAGCGTGAAACTTATGTAGCAACTTGAGACTTGCCTCTTTGAACATTGGCGCTGTTTTTTTTTTTTTTTTTTTTTTTTTTAAATAAAAAACAAACTTGAGACTGTTATTTACTGCATGGGTAGGTGTTTCGGACTTTTCTGTAGGTCATTTGGTAGGTAGTCTGTGTGTGTGTGTAATATATATGCACGCTAGCTTAAAAGCTGTTTTTTTAGGCAACTTTTAAGGTCGCTCCTGCGGAGGGCTCTTAATTGGGCCTTCATCACAACAGGTAGGGAAGAGTAAATACAATAGCCAACAATAAACTGCGAATGAAGTCAAAACTGATCGCTGCATTTAAGTATTGCAATAATATATAAGCTTACCTTTTAAAAGTATCGAGGAGAATTCTTCTACCGACACTTATTTTAAAGACAAGTTTGATGTACGTAGGTCCTTTCTTTCTGTACGAAGAATTATTTTTATTTCATGGCTGAATTTCGCAATTAATTTCGATTATTTCTAACTTATAAAACAGTTATTGTTTAAAAAAAAAAAAAAAAAAATCAGGAAAAAAAACTCGCCGGAAACAATTGCAGTAATGAAAAGCTGAGAATCCAAAATATCAGGATTGCAGGCCAGGAATGTTTTTAATTTGCTCACAGATTCGGCCTGATTCCAAAATGGTATGCTATGTTGGGCTACGGCCTTCTAGGGATAAAGGTGAAAAAGTGTGACACGGTGAGATATATATATATATATATATATATATATATATATATATATATATGAGAGGAAATGTTTAGACTACCCCGTTTATTAATTTAGCATTTTATCCGCCCCCCCACCGCTATCCTGTTTGTTGCAGTTTAAAAAATTCCCAACTTCCCAGTTATTGTTAACCTTGTATTGGGCACCGAAAAGTATATATTTAAATATAAATTGTCCAGTAAAGTCCTTATTCATATCTATCATGGAAAATGTACCACACACAGATTCTTTCCATTATATACGTAAAACACTCAAGTAAAATGAAAATAGCTGAACACATATCGGGCAAATTGAATAAAGAAATTGGATAATGTTGCAAGTCTTCTTACTTCCCTTGAGATTACAGGGAGGGAAAGACACACCAGTGTCGGTGGCGGCTTTGTGAAGATGAATCAAAAAGGTCTGAAGTCGGAGACTGGTCGCCGCTTAATACAACTGGCAATCGAGTAAAGCTAATCGCCATTTTTTTTTTTTTTTTTTTTTTTTTTAACGTCTGTGCGTCGTAGCGGTTTTCGGCGTGGAAAGTGAAATTTGCCTTTCTAGTTCGAATCTTCACATCGTCTGTTGTTTTGAATTTTGGAAGACGTGAATCGATGACTTCTCTCTTCAGGTGAAATAAGAGAGCTGACTGGTCTCTCTAGCCGTGAAGGGTCGCCAATTGTGCTAGAAACAGCAGGAAGGTATTCTCCTTTCCGATCAGCTATAGCAATAAACATAAAAAAAAAGTAATCTGTGATTCCTGAAAGCCGGGAAGGAGTTGACATTAAAAAAAAAAGTGCGTGAGTGAAGATAGGAAGGAAGATATATATATATATATATATATATATATATATATATATATATATATATATATATATATATATATATATATGTGAGTGAGAATGTATGAGAGAGACAGGTGGGTTGTTACTGCAACTAAATGAGCTGACAACATTGACAGTGGCTATGGATATCCATTTGCCAAAGAATGCTGATTACCGGATATGTGTTCAAGTGCGTGGGCTGGTCAGTCTGTCAAAACGTATTTCTAGTTTTTTTGGGTTTTTTTTATATTTATCGTGTCTCATTCCGCATAATTCTAGATGTCGGGAGAACTTCCACCCTCTCCCCGACCCCAAAGAAAAAGTGAAAAAGATCCTTTTTAATATCTTGACTCTCTCCTCCTCTTATTCTCTTAGTTTCTTGCTGTGATGACTTTCAAAGCATATTGGACTTGATTAAAAACGATTTCATCAACAGTACTAAACTACCCCCCACATCTCACTCTCTCACTCACACACACACACACACACGGTGGTCAGTCTCTAACTACATGTTATCCATTTCCCTCCTGGCCCGCGACGCACTTTCTTTCATTCATTTTTTTTTTTTTTTTTTTTTTTCCAGATATCCAAATCTCATTAATTGCTTCACTGAGGGTGAAGCGCCATAAAACACAGACTGAGACCCATACTCACTTCTTCCCCCGCCACAGTCACTCACTTTTTCTCCCCCCCTCTCCTCAGTCCTCCTCCCCCCCCGCTACAGTCACTCACTTCTCCCCCCCCCTACAGTCGCTCACTTCTCCCCCCGCTACAGTCGCTCACTTCTCCCCCCCCTACAGTCGCTCCTTCTCCCCCGCTACAGTCGCTCTTCCCCCGCTACAGTCGCTCCTTCTCCCCCCCCTACAGTCGCTCCTTCTCCCCCCACTTCAGTCGCTCACTTCTCCCCCCACTACAGTCCTCCTTCTCCCCCCCTACAGTCGCTCACTTCTCCCCCCGCTACAGTCGCTCACTTCTCCCCCCCGCTACAGTCGCCCTTCTCCTTCCCCCCCACTACAGTCGCCCACTTCTCCTTCCCCCCCCTACAGTCGCCCCTTCTCCTTCCCCCCCGCTACAGTCGCCCCACTTTTCCTTCCCCCGCTACAGTCGCCCACTTTTCCTTCCCCCCCTACAGTCAGTCCTTTTCCTTCCCCCCCGCTACAGTCGCCCTTTTCCTTCCCCTACAGTCGCCCACTTTTCCTTCCCCCCCTACAGTCCCCACTTTTCCTTCCCCCCGCTACAGTCGCCCTTTTTCCTTCCCCCCGCTACAGTCGCCCACTTTTCCTTCCCCCGCTACAGTCGCCCTTTTCCTTCCCCCCCGCTACAGTCGCCCACTTTTCCTTCCCCCCCCCGCTACAGTCGCCCACTTTTCCTTCCCCCCCGCTACAGTCGCCCCTTTTCCTTCCCCCCGCTACAGTCGCCCACTTTCCTTCCCCCCGCTACAGTCGCCCACTTCTTCTCTCCCCCCGCTACAGTCGCTCTTCTTCTCCCCACCTACAGTCGCTCCTCCCCACTTTCTCCCCCACCACCCTGCGCACTTCTTTCCACCTGTATTCTGGGTTGTTCTTCCTTTTCTTGAACCCCCCTCTTTCTTTCAACGTATTCATCATTCTCTATTTTCTTTGAATATATTCAGCTTACTGCTATATAGCGTTGAAACACCGGTTCCCTACGATCACCGAAGTTAAGCAACGTTTAGCCTGGCCAGTACCTAGTTGGGTGACCGTTTGAGAATACCAGGTGCTGTGAGCGTGGATGAAATTTTTCATGTTATATTTTCGTGGCTTGATCCCTTTCACTTTAGTTCCCACCCCAAAATTGACCTCAGTCATCTCCCCTACTTCTGCCCTTTTTCTCCCTCCTCACTAATTTAATCACTTGTCCCTTTTTTTTTTCTCCTCAATTTTAGTCGTTCTTTGTCGTTTTTAAGGTCATTTCATCAGCAGTAAATTTAGATAAATGCAGAGAGATTTGCTTGTTTTCCAAAGGGTTTTGTCTACAAAAGCAAAAGTAAAAACGCATATCTTAAAACTGAGATTACGCCCCCCTCGACCGACGTCTCTCTTAAGTCCTCCTGAATGTCTTGCTCTCCATACCTCACCTGCTGCATTTATCCTGTCTTCTTGCTTACGGCTTAGTCGACTGTGTCACACAGATAATGGTCGTGGTTTTAGTCATAGGTTTATTTACTGTCATACATTCTCACGCACGGGGGACATTGGCCTACTAGAGTCAGTACCTTCTTTCTCCCATTACTAACTTCAATTTTTTCTTCTCCTTTCGACCCCTCCGGTCAATTTCCTATCTCCCCGCCAAAGACTCCCTAACGTAATATTCTCTTAATTTGCCCACTAAGATAATCTGAGTCCGTTAACAAAGGACACGAATTTAGGGTGAAAGAAAGAAATATAGGCTGAATGCGAAAGAAGGAATAGCTCTGAGGAAAAAGAAAAAAAATGGCGGAATTTAGAATAATGAAATTTTTTTTTTTTTTCTTTGTTGTTGTGGTGTCTGAGTGAAAGACAATCCATGAGTTGATTATTTCAATAGAATAAACACGCGTCCCCGGTGGAAGTGTTAATGGGTTCTCTCCCTAGCCCCACTTTCACGTTATTTTCCTTTTCTGCGATCGTTGTTCTTTCTCGTGTCTTCCTTTCCCTATTCAGAAATAAACCGACTAGTTAAATACTCACGGCGATCGGACATTGGTTTTTGCGTGGAGTTCAGTGGCAACGGATAAGACGCTTTACATATGAATATATTCACTTTAATACGAATTTCCACTCATTTTATTGTAGATGTCAAGACGAAAAGTAATGAAATGCGTTCTATTGTAAGTACAATCATGGACATTTAAGAATATGATAGCAATTAGCGATTAAGCTTCTTTTTTTTCTGGTGTAATCATTAGTCTTTTTTGAGTTTTATTTAAATAAATATTTTATACATTGTAATTTTCTAATTATCTTTCTAAATGTGAAAGATAGATTCTGACGAGATAAATTGTCTAGCACGATATCAACTCGAAAGCATTTATAGAAAAGGTACAGGGAAGCTATGTTACGGTAATAGCAAAGTGACTGTAGCTAAGCTGCCAGGTCAGGACCAATAATATTGCATATTATTTTACAGATTTTTTTATCAATAATCTCTAAATATATAGCAGGAGCGCTAGACCAAATTCTTTTTGTTCGTTATGATTTTTGTGTTTCTACACACTCGGAGACGATAGTTAGCGGTTCCGATTAAGGAATCGGAGAGCAGAGTTCGAATTCCAGTTGAATCCATTACATTCACTTACGTTCTAATACCCTTGGGAAAGGTATGAATTCTCTTCTCCAACGATGACAACTGGTCTACCGCGGTGAAAAAAAAAAACAAAAAACAAACTGCCTCGTCAGTCATGTCTCGAAAGATACATGATCGCCTAAGCGTGTAGCGCGCATGGCACATAACTGACTGACACTCAAATCAATCTATCGCCCACTTCACACTCCTCCCCGGTCTCTTGAACCGGAATAGTTTTATCCATTGTTTCCCGTTTAGTATTGGGTTTCCAGTTCATTCTAAAGTCTTTTCATTCTCTTTCACTTACAGTAATCCCTTCCGTTTGAGCAGCATTTATCGCCGTAGCAGGCGAATCAATTAATCTTAATCTTAATTTAATTTATTACTGTGTTTGCGTTATTAAATGTTAGTGTGTTTTTTTTTTTTGGGGGGGTCTGTTCTGAGAATACATATCTTCTGAAGGTGTCGAAATTCCATTTTTTTTTTCTGGCTATAGAAACTTTATCTGTCCGCACAAAGTAATTTGCTTCTACCTGCGTTTTACGATTACTGAAGTTAAGCAGAGTCGAGCCTTGTCAGTACTTAGATGGGTGACCGCCGGGGGATATCAGGTGTTGTAAGCTTGGATATGCGAATGATGTAATGGATAACTGATCGAAATTGAAACTTGGAGAGTCGAGTTCCAATTCCAGCTGGGTTCATTATATTCACGCGCAAATATCATTGGTAATGGTATGAATCCATCTCTTGTCCCCACAGTAATGCATCACTAAAAATATTACTATGTCAAAAAAATAAAATAAAATTGCATCTAAAATAGATATTTAGATTTTGGCATTAAATAACCCATAGAGGTGTTGATGTGCCACTAAACAAAAACAATCTAATGTAAGATTTATATAGTGTGAAGTTTGTTTTTTTTTTGTTTTTTTGGGGTTTTTTTTTTGTTTTTTTTTCACTTCGACGAATCGTCTCGTCGTTAAGGCTTTATCAAGATTCATTCTATAAGTCCATTGCTCCAAGACAAAAATTCTTCACGCAATTCCTTCTCGAACCTTGTTTTTTGCCCTCTTTTTTAAACAGAGCTTTTACGATTTCACGTGCACTGCCCCGGCTTTATTTGTGTGCACTGTCATGTGCAAGCTATTGAGATAAGTAAAAGAACCTGTTATTTGATATACAGTCCTCCAACCGAGCAACGTCTCAAGCGACCCCACCCAACTTGTTTTTTTTTTTTTTTTTTTTTTTTTTTTTTTTTCTCTCTGTCTCTCTTCTCTCTTTGTTTGGTTTACTGAACTTTCAATTGGTGGTAAGCATACGCATTTGTTAACACATAATTGCAATCACCTTGTACGTCAGATCCCTTTTTTTTTTTTTTTTTTTTTTTTTTTTTTAGTGTTTTTCTTTTCTTACATATGTAAGGAAGAAAGTAATCACTCGTCTTTTGCTTGTTTACGTCGGACATGTTGTAATGTGCACATATCAGCCGCTTCTACTTAATAAATCGCCTGTGAAGACTGTCGATAATCATAAAAAGTACTCTGTTTTCTTTCTCCTAAAATAACCACACCTACCGGATCCGGAAGTATAAATTCACGGAAGTTAAACTTGCAGTTCACATAGGATTGTAAAAAGGGATGCGATGCTCAGTAGCAAATTAAAAAAAAAAAAAAAGAAAAAAAAGTTACATAGTTTTGGGGTCTCCAAAGTGGGTGGTACCTTTCTTTTCTTGAGAGTAGTGAAAAATTCCAGTGGTAGACGGTGAGAAAAGCTTTTTTTTTTTTTTTGTTTTATAAAACAACGGTATCATCAGCAATCACTTGACCATCTGTGGTCGTAGGGTCACTACGTAATTGAGCAAGTGACCAACTTCACACTCCTACATGTCTCGATAGGTATTAATTGATGCGTAGCATTTTGAGGAAAGTAAATCTTGAGTAGCCTGTCGCTCTAGAGGCGATAGGTGACATTCAGTCAGTTATGCGCCAAGCGTGATACACGTGTATCTTTCCTGTCAGCCATGTATCTTTCGAGTTGTCATCAGACGGAGATTTTACTCCTGAGCTATCAGCACCAGGTAGAGAGGAAGCCGAATTTTTGCGTATTTATTCGGTTACGCCAGTGACCGAGAGGGCTCAATTCTTAGCTTACACACACACACACACACACCTACCTATGTTTGGTGTGCGACTTAAGTTTCGTTGGTTACCCAACTCGTCGGGCACAAAATATAGCTGCTTATAAATTAATAGGCTATATCACGTGCCTAAGCAATGAAATCTAAGTCACACACCAAACGTAGGTATATGTGTATTTATTAATATATATTCCTTAGCTCTGTCTAACCACAAAGAGCACTTTTATATCTACACCTCTTGGCAAAATTTGGTAATATATATATATATACACACACACACACACACACACACACCTGTGTATGCACGCCAGCACGCGGTTGTTAATATCTATTTATTTCATTTATCTAACCATATATATATATATATATATATATATATATAACTAGACTCGTTTCGAAAAACCCTCGAATTTTTGATTTGCTAATCAAATCAATCTCGAGGGAAAAAAAGGTTTTAAAAAAAGAAAGAGCTACAAACATGAACTTCTGCCGACAAAAAAAATCGCACAGATGCAGGTCTGAAGCCCAAAGAAAAAAAAAAAAACCGATACGAGTAACAACTAACTAACAAAAGAGCTCAATACAACCGTGAAGCAGACCTAGAATACACCTAGTGAGCCAGACAAACCTACCTAGGTTTCACCTAAACGGATCGTCAGGGAAAGTTTGGCTAAACTTTCCCTGACGATCTAAGGTATGTTTGTCTGGCTCTAAAAATATATGTATATATATATATATATATATATATATATATATATATATATATATATATATATATATATATATAAGCAGAAACAGACAGATATAGATTCTCTCCTCGATCTGCCGTTAAAGATGCAGTAAAATGGTCGACTTCCTGTATTTCTAGCAAGTACCTGACTCCTCATGCTATGCTTACAAATGCCAAATCAGACCTAAAATGGAGTACTGTTGCCGTATTTGGGCAGGAGATACACAGTCACCTCTTTCCAGTTTCGATAGAATAAAAAAGGCTCTACGAGTCCTTGTGGGTGACAAGTTATTTTCCAACCTCTCTCACACAGGCGGGCTTCGGCAAGCCTCTCCCTGCTCTATTGCTTCTTTCATGTGAAGTCCTCGGACAAATGAAATTTCACGTTTCCGCAGTGCCACTTACTTTGTAGCGAGCCAACCACATTCTTGGTAAAAAAAAGTAAGTTCCACTAGAATAGCATTTTTCCTGCGAATCACTGCAGTCGAACATACTCCCAAGAGGATGTTTCCTCGATAAAATCTCTGGTTAACAGTTATTTTACTCTCCTATCAGCAAAAACTACCTCGAATAGTCCCTGGGACTTGTACAGTGTGAACCTTATATATATATATATATATATATATATATGTGTGTGTGCGCGTTTCAGATTGCCTTCTCAGGTTTGAGAGCTTAATGTCTTCCTACACATCATGGCCATTACTTTCTGCAACCCCTTCCAATAAACAACAATATCATCAAGGATGTAGGTCATCTTTCCACACGATTTTCACACCCATAAGTTTCGTTTTTCTTTTTGTTCCCCTTTTCTCTTCATTATTTAACTGAAGATCCGCGTACAATTTGTATCAGTTGCAAGAAATGACGAGGGATTTTACATTACAATTACAGTGTAACCCGGATATAAGAGATTTTCTCTGGTCCCAAATTAGAGCCTGTGTTAATGTATATAAAATAGACCAAACCCGGATATAAGAGACTTCTTCTCCGGTCCCGTCAACTCTCTTATATCTGGGTTACACTATATATATCAAGAATAAAGTCGTGAAAAAAGGCGTTTTTTGTTTTTTTTCTCTCTCTCTCGCCTTTTTTTTTCTCTCGCCTTTTTTTTTCTCTCGCCTTTTTTTTTCTCTCGCCTTTTTTTTTCTCTCGCCTTTTTTTTTCTCTCGCCTTTTTTTTTCTCTCTCTCTCCTTTTTTCCTTTCTTTTTCTCTCCTTTTTTCCTTTCTTTTTCTCTCCTTTTTTCCTTTTCTCTTTTTCTCTTCTTTTCTCTCCTTTTCCTTTCTTTTTCTCTCCTTTTCCTTTCTTTTTCTCTCCTTTTCCTTTCTTTTTCTCTCCTTTTCCTTTCTTTTTCTCTCCTTTTCTCTCTCTCTCTCTCCTTTCTCTCTCTCTCTCTCTCCTTTCTCTCTCTCTCTCTCTCTCTTTTTCTCTCTCTCTCTCTCCTTTCTCTCTTCTCTCTCTCTCCTTTTCTTTTTCTCTCTCTCTCCTTTCTCTTTCTCTCTCTCCTTTCTCTTTCTCTCTCTTCTTTTCTCTTTCTCTCTCTTCTTTTCTCTTTCTCTCTCTCCTTTCTCTTTCTCTCTCTCCTTTCTCTTTCTCTCTCTCCTTTCTCTTTCTCTCTCTCTCCTTTCTCTTTCTCTCTCTCTCCTTTCTCTTTCTCTCTCTCTCCTTTCTCTTTCTCTCTCTCTCCTTTCTCTTTCTCTCTCTCTCCTTTCTCTTTCTCTCTCTCTCCTTTCTCTCTCTCTTTCTCTTTCTCTCTCTCTTTTTCTCTCTTTCTCTCTCTCTCTCTTTCTCTTTCTCTCTCTCTCCTTTCTCTTTCTCTCTCTCTCCTTTCTCTTCTCTCTCTCTCCTTTCTCTTTCTCTCTCTCTCCTTTCTCTTTCTCTCTCTCTCCTTTTTTTCTCTCTCTCTTTTTTCTTTTCTCTCTCTCTCCTTTCTCTTTCTCTCTCTCTCTTCTTTCTCTTTCTCTCTCTCTCCTTACTCTTGGTTATGGCGGGTGCATGTTATTTTCATGTTGTAATATTTGTCGTCTAATTTGTGCATTTTTGCTTGTTTTTATTATTATTATTATTTTCGTTTAGTAGCGACGCTTTAAATTTTGTCTTTTTTTGTCTTTTTTTTTCCTGGCTCCTGCCTCTTTCGTCTCCTAATGAAATGACCTCCTCTTTTATTAAGTGTTTGGTCACTTGTGCCTAAAGAGCGGAAGCTGAGATGGCAATGTTTAAGTTTTAATGAGAAACCCTTGAAATGTCATCAACATTAAATTTTTAAAAGTTTTTTTTTCTCTTTTGCTCCAGAGTTAAACAGTCTTTAAATTATTTGGATTCTTTGGGTCGAATTGACACTCACATAAAAATCAGTTTCTAAATTTTGGAAGCACAATTTTATGAAAGTTTCCAGTTCAACTGCCGCAGATTTTAATGAATAGAAAAAAACTTTTTGGTGATTAAAATAAAAATCTTTCAGTGGTAGGTGTATAAGTTAGTCATTCTCTTTCCTCTCCCCTCTCCTTCCTCTCTTTCCTCTCCCCCTCCTTTTCTTTTTCCTCTCCCCCTCTCCTTTTTCTTTCCTCTCCCCACTCTCCTTTTCTCTTTTCTCCCCCCTCTCCTTTTTTCTTTCCTCTCCCCCTCTCCTTTCTCTTTCCTCTCCCCCCTCCTTTTCTCTTTCCTCTCCCCTCTCCTTTTCTCTTTCCTCTCCCCCTCCTTTCTCTTTCCTCTCCCCCTCTCCTTTTCTCTTTCTCTCCCCCCCCTCTTTATATATATATATATATATATATATATATATATATATATATAAAGGTTCTTAATTGACTGACAAACAATTCTGTGTAACGCGTTTCGTCCTCTAAAATGACATCATCAGACTAAAGCAATGTTTTCATTTGTAGAATTCTGTATCCCAAACCACACAGGGCTATTGAGGGCAAGAGAGATTTACCGAGCCACTTACCTCACTAGATTATGTAAACGGAGCCGAGGGAGGTTACCTTAACAAAGGCAGCATAAAGATAGACAATCATAGCCCTCCACAACTTTCTATGTCCTGAAAAGGAAGATTTTAGAAACACAATGGAAGCGACGAAATTGGGAGAATTTCTTATTTAATTAATTTCTATTCGATCGACGTGTCTGGACACACAGCCTCGCCAATCTCATTCATAGTATCTCGTTATGCTCTCTTAGTATAGACACACGAATTGCTAATGTACTACGTATCAGCCATTTTCCTCTTACGGAATGAGATAGATATATATATATATATATACACACACACACACACACACACACACACACACACACACTTATACACTCTGAATTTGAAATAATACATTCCCTTCCCTCTCAGTCTGTGCAACCCCAAACTTGGGTTGAACAGTAAAACCATCCAGTGGTAGAAGTAAAATAAATAAATAATTTCTAAAAAAACAAAAAAAAAAACAAATAATTTCTAAAAAAGAAAAAACAAATTATCGAACGTGTCGGAAAGTATTCAGTATGAAATAGAAATATTTTATGTCTTTCTCTTTTAATTTTGTGGAAATATTTTTAAGTGTCATTGAATTAAAATATACATTCACCTACAATATGCTTTCCTTTTTTTTTCCGCACCTTGACTTGACGAATTTAAGCGCAGTACTAGATTGGCAGCTGGGTCCCATTATTTTACAACTTAGATGGTTAGATGCAATCATGGTACTCTCTTGCGGATTTTTGCATTCCAATCAAATTTGGTCTTCAAAAATTTAAATGCAAGGCCAATCGTTATCTGTTTTCTTACTTGTTTTTTATTGTCCTCTCTACATGTTTTTGTTTTTTTTTCTCTTTTTTTTTTTTTTTTTTTTTTTTTTTGAATGAAATAATTAAAAATATCTATTTCATTCAAATATAACTGTCGAAAGTGCTAATTTGCCTTTTTGTCTTGCAACAACTTTTGGTTTATAGGAAAAATGTATGAGACTTCTGTATGCCCCCAACCCACACTCTTCTTTTTTCTTTTCTTTTTTTTTTTTTTTTTTTTTTTTTTTTAAATGATTTCTCCTTTATTCAAAGTGAATACATTTTCTAATAAATTTATTTTATTTATTTATTTTTTTAAATGCGGGGGGGAAAAAAGTTTCGATTTTGCAATTTTGATGATCTTGCTGTTGGCGAAGCGACCTGAAAGCCGAGATAGTTTCGTAAACCATTTCCCCCCACCAAGAACGACATGGAATCGGAACTTATTCATTTTTCTGTGACGATTTATTTTCGAGTCAATAAATAGCGTTCATGAAGATGAAGAATTTTTTTTTTTTTTTTTTTTGAAAAACCACGTTTTGTGTTCTTAAAGTTGTTCATTGAAGAAAAGGAAGAAAAAAAGCTGGTTGTCTTGCCAACGAGATATTGACGTAATGATCACCATGGTTACTGCACAAGGTGCACTTGGAGAACTTACCTGGAGAGGAACGAATTACAGAGAAAGGAAAACTGGGGAAGGAGGAAGGAATTTCTATGAAATAGTCTAAAACAATGGAATGTTTACGCGCGCACACACACAGGCCCTCTCACACAGACGCATACATTACACAACGTAAACGGCAAAATCGAAAATATGCATACGTGCTTAAATTTTGTCCCTGCATTTCTGGGAGTTCATTTCGTGATCTATCTAGCTTTCTATCTTTGTGTGTGTGTTGTTACACTCGATTTCTTCGATGTAAGCAGAATTCGAATTCCATAATACATTTTCCAGTTCAGCTTATTTATTTATTTATTTTTTTTTTTGGCTGCAAGACATTTTATAACCTACGGTTTTATCATGAAAGGTGTCTAGGTTTTATGAACACACACGAGATGGTATTAGTAAGTTTCCTGCCTAAACATAAAATCTTTGGAATGCCCTCTTGGATAGACTGAGAACTTTTCAACACCACGCTTAAGAAAAATAACAATAATTCCTATTTACCAAAAATATGAACGACTAGGGAATTTCCGGGAAACAAGACAGGCAATGCAGTTTGAACGGACTTCAATATCGAAAGATAGGGCAATAAGTTATTTATAATTAAAATAGTTCACATATCTTTTTTCCAGTCTGTACTCGGTGTTTCATGGATGTTTTGTTAAATCCTCGGCAGATGTTACGAATTGAGTTTTTCAAATCCTATTTATTTAGCCCATATAAAAATATTTTTGTGATCACGTAAATTATTTTAAAAGACGTTATTTTTTTGTACCAGAATAGTTGTCCTAATTTTTCTATTAAACAAGTCCTTAATGGAATAGTGGTTTTCCATTTATTTATATATATATATATATATATATATGAATTTAAAATTTATATACTAGCTAGGTACTCAAGTTTAGGTGGTAAAAAATCTATAAAAAATATTCTGAATTTCAAACCGTGGAGAGCCATACAAACTACACTTTAAAAATGTATGGCGTAAAATCTGGAAGGTTTAAAATGTGTACTTTTCCATTAAGTTACGCATTTAATATATATACACAGTGTAACCCGGATATAAGAGAGTTGTCGGGACCGGAGAAGAAGTCTCTTATATCCGGGTTTGGTCTATTTTATATACATTAACACGGGCTCTAATTTGGGACCAGAGAAAAATCTCTCTTATATCCGGGTTACACTATATATATATATATATATATATATATATATACGCTTTATTTAATGTACACCAACTTGAAGCGTCATCTTTCTCGGGGATGCGTGGCCGTTGATTCCGTCATGGGAACCCTCCGCTCTGGCTGTTTATTTCAGTCTCGGAAGCCCTCCACGCAGTGATGCCATATCATATCCTGATCGTTGACACTACATGAAGGTCCATCCCTCCTTTGACAGATCTTGTTTTTAATCCTGCTGGGTTCTAGTACCACCCCTAACCAGAAAATCTTGGTTGGTGGAGGGGATTATTGTAGTCGCCAGTGTCATGACTATGCAACCGGTTGTACTAGGTTGCATGTAGCACTTATCAGTGAAGAAGTTACAAACATGGCGTCCAGAAATACGTTTTTGAAAGCCTCTACTGTGCATTTCATTCTAGACTGTGAAATATTTAGGCTCATGAAGGCCAACCATAAATTCCGTGGCATGATAGGTGCCACAATTACTACAGGATTTTTTAAACTGATCAAAATATATGAATGGTTTATGAATAGTTTGAAAGGCTTGGCGAATTTGACACCCACAGGACATATTGAAGGCAAGAAGGACACAGGGAAACGATGAATGATCTGTTTTCATTTCTACCTTAAGACGGCAACCTCTCACACATAGGTGAAACGTGTCGTCCTTAAAGAAGCATTTCTACTTTCTCCGTTAATTCTGTGAATGAATGACAAAATAAAGAAGGAAGGATAGTAAAAAAAAAAAAAACTCTCTAAGTTATCAGAAGTTGGGGTGAGCTATGATCGCCCAAGTACTAAAGTAACACTGTACAGAAAACAATCCAAAGGGCAAAGATTTTTTTTTTTTTTCGAAATTATAAGAAAAATAATCA